AGGGCCTGACCTCCTCATCACACTGGGTACTTCTTAATTAAATGAAGGTACGGGAGTTCAAGGCTGGGCACACTAGAAATATTGGAACTCCGGAGCTGTGCTCCTGAAATATGCCCTTGGCACGCCCAGCTCCCTGCCGCTGCATGCTGATTAGAAGCCACTGCCTATAGAGCAAGCAAAGAGACGGGCACATGTCCCTTTTATGAAAATCCAGCAAGCTGGTGTGAAGTGGAGATAACCAGCCCCCGCCGCACTCTGAGGCTGAAGATACTTAATTATCTGAAACCCAGATAAACAGCAGGAGCAGGACGGTAGGTGGAGGCAGAGGAGCTGAGCCCGGCAACCAGAGGCTGCAGGAGACATTCAGAGCTAATGGTGTGAGCCCGGGCCCGAGTGAAGGGCAGGAAGAGGAGGGCAAAGTGGTTGGCAGCCCCAGGAGCCTCACCTGCAGAAGAACAGGAGGAGGAGGACCTGGACCAGAGAGGCCAGGAGGGAGAAGCAGCCAGGGGCACTGTCTCCCAGACAGCTCAGGGGACCGAGGTGTTTATTGACTTGGTCTAGTGAAGTTCATAAGATTGCTAAGCCTCAGGAGAGGGATCTCAAAATGCCATTTTGCAAGTTGGAAACCCGAGGACAAGCTAGGGAAGACAGTGAGAGAAGTGGTGGACATTCAGGGCGGAGAACACGCACCCGCTGGGGTTCACTCATAGCAGCCTGTCAATCTAAGCAGGGTCTGTGAACTTGACCTTGAGGGCCTGATGCAGGGCCAGCAGGCAGCTGTCCCTCAGCACTTGAGGGACGTGGTGACAATAGGCACAAAGGACTCGGAGTGAGCCTGGGCCCATGATAAGGGCTCACTCAGTGCCACCACTGTGGTCCTTGGGAATCCTCCCAGGAATGGGGCTCTGCAGACAGTTCCCAGCAGGTCACGTTACAGACCTTGACTAAGATGGCACTCGTCATTCTGGGCTCCAAAATCGATCCTTATGTCCAAGGAGCCAAAGTGGGACCCAGTCCATTTCCAAGGCCCTCAACTCAAGATGATGAAGCAGGACAAGCCCTGCCATGGGACGCTGGGCGTGCGTCCAGGGTCCACCTGCGCGTTCTAGAAGCTGGGCGGAGAGCACGGGGTCCCTGCACCGGGAATAAAGGCTTAGGGTTGAGGGCTCAGCCTCCAAAACAAACATCTTGGGTTCAACTGCTGGTTCTGCCTCGTTCCAGCTACTGACCTTGAGCAAGCCACTTCAGTCCCTCACCACGGCAGGGAGAGACCCCATCAGGATTCCTGTGAGAACTCCGGAACTGCTAAAGCAAGTCAGCCAATGCATGCAGTGCCCAGGGGGATCTGTGTGGCACAGCAGGGGCCCCAGTGAACAGCAGCTCCTGTGCTCTGCCCTGAACCCAAGGTCAAGTCCAAGGACGTGAGGAGCCAGTTGACTCCTGAGCTCCCTGGGAATGGCTAAACCCCCCCTCTCCTGGTTCCTCAACGTCCTGGCAAGAGGGGAGGGAGAAGGGGCAAAGGCTGTGGATCCAAAGGAAAAGGGCAAGACAGTGACCAAAGCAGAAAGAGAGCCACCAAAGAACAGCCCTAGACCTTGGGGCAGGGAAGGAAAGCAGCAGCCACCACCCGGCCCATTCCTAGAAGGCCCAGAACCCGGCAGGGGCCTTGGAAGCAGAGGACATTCTCTGCTGTGGAACGTGGGCGCGCTCCCAGGCTCCGCAAGAGTTGACGGGTATTAACACGATCACGTGGTCCCTCCAGAGCAGGTGTGACCACACAGATCCCACTGTGGTTGTTATGACCACCGGGCGTCTCCGCCAAGCGCTGTCACATGCCTGCCATTTGAGCTACCCGCTCCCAGCCCGAGAAGGCTGAACGGGGTCTGAGATGGCGCTCATCTATCTCCCTCTCACTCTGTGCCAAGGGGGGGCCCCCCGTGCAAGTCTATGTGCATGCAGCAGGTGACTGGGGACAGTGATGAGTGTGAAAGGGTCACTCACGGCCACCTGACAGACATCAGATGCTGGCAGGTGTCAGGCACTGCTCAAGATGCTGGGAAGACCCAACAGCGAGGGGCACGTCCCTCGTGGAGTTCCACGGTCCCTCCCTCCCTCCCTCCCTCCCTGCCCGTCTCCCTGCCGGCTTCTTCAGTTTCTTCCCTTTCCTTCCACTCCCTTCCCTTCTTCCCTCCTTGATTCACTCATTACTAAACACCCTGGGACCAGAGTGCATTCCAGCTCGGCTGCCCATCACCTTGGGCTCCCCTTTCTTCCTCTCCAAGATGGACATAAGGACAGGACTCACTTGCAGGGCAAGCCCCTGCACCTACGAAAGGACCCGTCCCGAGCCATAGCTGCAAGACTCAATTCCTGCATGAACTTGGCTCCCAGCCTGTTGGTGGGAAGGCTGAGGGAGATGGATGAGGAGTTTGTCCAGCTTTGAGTGTGCTGCGTCCTCTATCTTGGCCAACTTAGAGTCCTGGGCGCATCTCTGAGATAGATGAGGTGGGTGCACGTCCAGGCAGGCTACGCACCGCACGAGGCTGGGCCTGGAGGAGCATCTAGCAAGACCTCTGGGGGGGGTACTGGAAACTGGCCCTTCCCCTGCACAATGTCACTGGATCCTGCTGTGTCCTGGGAGCCTTTAGATGACTTGATTTATTCTAGTGTTTACTATCGACATTTGTCCCTCAGTGGTGATTCATGGGCTCGATGGGGAAATTCAGTGGGAGCAAAGGTCAGGAGCTTGGGAAATTCAGTGGGAGCAAAGGTCAGGAGCTTGGTACCGTTCCCAGCCCAGAGCTAGCGCTTAATAAATGTTAGCTATGCTTGTCCTGAATAACCGCTCTATGCCAAGCTCCTGCTACGTGCCGGGAAGGACTTCCATGTGTGTGCATGTAAACACTCACAGCAAAGGTCAGTCAGGGCAACGTGGCCACCTTGTCCCCACAGCTGGAAAGCAACTATGAGCTCCTTCTGCACTCCTCCAGGGACCCTCAGTCCTGCAGAGCTGTGATCGTGTTCTCCGTCTTCCCTTCTAAACACGGGGAGGAAGGAAGAGCTTCCGCATGCTCGCATGTTGGTTTAGCTTATTTCCAGACAAAAGGGACGATGTTGCATCTTCATAAAGCAGGAAGGTTCCAGAACCTTCCTCGGAGGGCTCCCTCGAGAAGGGATCACATGCATCCGGCACAGGCTGAATGAACGGCAGCTACGAATATCGCAGTCCCTCTTAGGGGGCAGGAGAGAGGGTCAAACACTGTCATACAGAGAATATAGATTCTGAAGACAGGAAGAGCTGGGCGCTGAGGCCCGACGCCCCCGATTGCCTCCTGGGAGGCCTGGAGTGGGTGGTTGACTTTCTTCGAGCCTCAGTCTCCCCATCTGCAAAGCGGGTTAGTCACACGCCCAGCCTTACCGCCTGTGAGACATCGGTGCACAGGCGAGATGTGATGCTCCTGCCGCTTCCAGCAAGGTTGGGTCAGGAGCTGTCAGGTGGCTGGGAGAACTTTCCAGCAAGGTCACCTCTTTATTGTTTCGTTTATTTATTTATTATGGAAGCACAAATCCAGTTCGACTTATTGACTTTTCATTGGTTAAAATTCTGGGGGGGGGTGTGCTACAGCATCGCCCTGATTCTGTGTCCAGCGGCCTTAGCAGGAAGGTGGCTTTGGAATTTGGCACAGACCGACCTGCTGTTTCCTGGATCATGGGGTCTTGTTCCGTGTTCCATGGCTCTTTGCTTCCTATGCACACCTCGTGTCTTGCCTGTAGAGAACTCAGGCCACCTCAGGCACAAGTGCCTTCAGGGGTTTTGTTTGTTTGTTTTTGTTTTGGGTACCAGGGATTGAACTCAGGGGCACTCGACCACTGAGCCACATCCCCAGCCCTAGTTTGTATTTTAGGGACAGAGTCTCACTGGGTTGCTTAGCGCCTCGCCTTTGCTGAGGCTGTCTTTGAACTCGCAACCCTCCTGCCTCAGCCTCCAGAACTGCTGGGATGACAGGTGCCTGATCACCTTCAGTTTTAAGAAGACCCGTGCATCCCCTTTGGTGCCAGAGACCCTGCCCATAGCCAGCAAAAGTGTCATTGGCTGCAGTCTTCCAGACTTTTTAAAAAAATGTTTATTTATTCTAATTAATTATATATGACAGCAGAATGCATTTCAATTCATAGTACACAAACAGAGCACGATTTTTCATGTCCCTCTTTTCATTCACAAAGAAGAGTCACACCATTCGTGTCTTCATACATGTACTTAGGGTCATGACGTCCATCTCATTCCACCGTCTTTCCTACCCCCATGCCCCCTCCCTTCCCCTCCGTCCCCTTTGCCCTATCTAAAATCCATCTACTCCTCCCGTGTCCCCCCATCCTCATTATGAATCAGCATCCTTATATCAGAGAAGTCTTCCAGACTTTTACCCTTAGAAGTCTGTCCCCAGTCACCTCTTCTGGCTCCAAGATGGCAGGAGGAGCCCAGATTACCTCTTAGCCCTCTGTTGTTTGTTTGCCTTTTAAACACTATCCGCCAGAGCCCAATTTTCTCTTGGAAGATCCTCTATAACGCACCTGGGTTGCCAGGGACCCCACAAGAGGGGTATTATTTTCTTCCCTTTTACACATGAGGGCACTGAAACTCAGAGAGGCTAAGCAACCTGCCTAAGCTCACCCAGCAACTTTTGATCTCGGGCCTATCTGAGCCCAGATGGTGTGATCGGTACAGCCCCAGCTCAGGATACAACCTGTGGGCCCCCTACCCCCTTCCCCAGTGGGGAACATAGAAAGAACTTGGGCCTGAACTCAACCCCAGGGTCTTGTTTGAATGGGGATAGCACCCACTTCTCTAAGAGATACTGAGAACGTAATGAGATCTTTTTTTTTTTTTTTAATGGATGCAATGCCTTCGTCCAAGTGCCTCGCGGGCAGTAGGCCACCCACAGCCACCAGGGCCCTGGGCTCCTCCTCCACAGCCCTCCGTCCCTCCCCTGGGCACTCACATGAACCTGAGCTCAGACTCCCGGCGGACGAGCACTTCCCGGAGACGCTGGATCTTTGCCATCTCCAGCTCGATCTCCTCGGGCATCATGGTCGTCTCTGCCATGGAGATGATGTCCAGCTGGGCTGTGCAGGACGGAAACACAGGCATCAGGCCCGAGTCCGCGTGGGCTTCCAAGAACTCCCAAGGACAGACCCTGCCGCAGCCCCCAGGACCATCATGCACGGCTGGGTCACACAGACCTCGGCCACCTGCAAACCTCGATCACCTGCAAACCTCGATCTGGGCTGCAAACACTCAGGAGTGGACCCTTCAGGAACAGGGAACCATGTTTTCCATGATGCTAGGGTTTGGATGTGTTTTGGTCCCATCAAAACTCATGCTGGGTCTTGGTCCCCAGGGTAAGGCTGTTGAGCTTTTAGTAGGCGATTTGGTCTTTGTGAAGGAGGGACTAACGGCTGGGTTCTTGGTTAATGGGCATGAATTAGTGGCCTAGAGGGCGGCTCATTAGAAATCAAGTTCCGTTTCCTGGGCTTGCCCCTCTCTTCTGCACGCACCTGCTTGACCTTCTGCTTATTTCCCCCTTGCCCTGACACAGTACAAGGCACTCCCATCAGGGGTGGCCACCCAGTCTTGAACTTTCTGGCCTTCATATCCATGATTTAAAATAAACCTCTTTTCTTTATAAACTACCCACTCCCTGGTATTCTGTCACAGCAACAGAAAATGGACCAAGACACAGGGGAACATTTGTTAGGATGCCAGCAGAGGCTCACAAAAGTCCTGCTTAAGGTGTGGTCAGTCCCTGCCTGGCCCCAACCTCTGAGGTGCAGGCACACTTGACTATGGCCACTTTGCCCTGCCCCAGCCTCAAAGACCGAGGACAACTTGAGGAAGAAGAAAATTTCATACTAATTATCTTATGGTGATACTAAGTATCGTAAGTAATAATAACATAAAGTAATAACATGTTTGTTGTAGAAAATTCAGGTAATACAGGCAGAAAAGAAAGAACACAAAGAAGTCATCCATAACCCCACTGCCCAGAGAGAACCACTGCTGAAGTTTTGATGGACACTCTTCCAATCTTATATAGTCAGAGTTACATGTTTCCGTATAGAAGAACTATATGTAAGGAACTATATGTAAGAAACTGTATCACCATGTATAACCATATACATATATGGAAAGACACCACGCCCTGCTGTAACAAAACACTAGAGGCCCGATGGCTTAAATGATAGCAGTTTACTTTGGCACAGTTCTGGAAGAGGACACTCTTCTTGGCTTGTGTCCCCCCCCGCCCTGGCCGGGCCTCTTCTTGGTATGTGCATAGGGTAGGGGTGAGGAATGGAGAGCAATTCTCTGATGTCTCTTCTTCTTTTTTTTTTTTTTTTTCTCTCTCTCTTTTTAAAATTTTGTTGTTGTTGTTGATGGACCTTTATTTTATTTATCTATCTGTGGTGCTGAGACTTGAACCCAGAGCCGCACACATGCTAGGCAAGCGCTCTACCACTGAGCCCCAGCCCCAGCTACCTCGTGTCTCTTCTTTTAAGGACACCAGAACTATATGATCAGGGCTGCACCCTCTTGACCTCATTTAACCTTAATTACTTCCTTCAAGGACCCATCTCCAAATACAGCCCATTAGGGGTTAGGGTTTCAACACATGAAATTTTCAACCCATGACTGTATGCATGTGTGGGTGTATGTTTGCACATGTGTGCATGTATGTATCACCACATATGCTACCATTAAAATCTTGTCCTGTGTCCTCCAGTATGTTTGTGTAACCTTTATCTATAGACACAGTTATACAGTCATCTACATGACTTATACACATAGCATGGCCATACAGGGCAACACAGACGGAAGATTTGTAACCTGAAGATCAGAAATCTGAAATATTCCAAAGTTCAAAACATTCTGAGTGCCAACAAGATGCCACATCCACACCTGACCTCATGTCAAAATGCAGGCACACTATAAATACTGCATAAAACTCAGGAGGCTGAGGCAGGAGGATTGCAAGTTCAAGGCCAGCCTCAGCAACTTAAGGAGGCCCTGAACAATTTAGGGAGACCCTGCTTAACCCTGTTAAAAAATAAAAAGGGGGGGCTGGGGTTGTGGTTCAGCAGTAGCACACTTGCCTGGCATGTGTGAGGCACTGGGTTTGATTCTCAGCACCACATATAATAAATAAAAATAAAGGTCTATCAATAACTAAAAAATTTTTAAAAAATATATATATATATATATATATATATATACAAAAATAATATACATATTGCATAAACAGCACTATATATATATATATATGCATATTGCATATACATGCATTTTGCATAAAATTACCTTTAGACTCTATGTATAAAATATAGATGGGACATAAATAAATTTTGTTTAGACTTGAGTCCTCTTCCTCCAAGATACCTCATTATGTATGTGCGAATGTTCCAAAATCTGAAAGCGGAAACACTTCTGGTCCCAAGCATTTGGGAAAAAGTGATACTCAACCTGCATGTATAGTTTTATATAGGCAACATGTATAATTATATATATGTACACGCCTATTTTTTAAATACTGAAAAAAATGTATACTAAAATGTTAGTGACTGAAAATGTTAACATATGCATGTGTCTATGTATATGCACACACATATATCTCCATATATCTGCCATCCCACGTCTTATTTTGGTCGTACGGAGTCTTGCGGGTTTCTTGCCCTCTTCTCACTAGCACACATTACAATCTCTCTCTCTCTCTCTCTCTCTCTCTCTCTCTCTCTCTCTCTCTCGCCTGTCCTCGGATGCTCTTGCTCAGCGGTCGTGGGCAAGGCTGGGTGGCTTTCTGCGTGGGGCTCCATCACGAATCACAGGACCAGTCTGCAGGCCTTTGGGTGGTTCCCCCTCCCCTCCCTGTGTGCATTCCCAAAGCGAAATCTTTGCCCACATCCAGGTTCCTTCAGGCTGCATTTCTGGAGTGGACGGCTGGGTTCTCGAGGAGGTGACAGTCTCAGGGCTTTCACAGGGGGAGGGTTGCAGTAGGAGAAGGAGATGTTCTTGCTTTACTGAGACCAGCACCACACACACCCCTCATCTCTGACTCTCCAGCACCCCCCTGAGGCTCAGCGCCCCACCCCACACTCAGTCCTGCTGCCTGGGGCTGGTCTTTGTCCTCAGGTCCAAGCCTGCATCTGGAAAGCTGCCCTGCCTGGTTCTACCTGTGTGTCTCCCTCCAGCCACCTGGAGCCCTGGCCTGGCACCCCTGCATGGGGACGGGGACACTGTGACTTGCAGACTTCCCTGAAGACAGCTCCTGCCTTCTTTGACCTCAGGAACAGTGACAGTTCCCAGGAGCCCCTGTGACAGGCTTTGTCCGTCCGTTGGGCTCTCCTGGCCCTGAGTTCTCCAGCAAATGGAATTTGGAAAGTCACATACCCTTCCATCACCTGGGCCCTGGGGGAACTGTCCACGGCCAAAATCTGTTCCCCCTCCAGCAATCAAACCCCCACGGAGGAAGGCAATTCCCTGTAGTGGATTCTCACGTTGAAGGAGTGGCCGGCGAGTCCAGCGTGGTGGAGCACACCTGTGATCCCCCCCAACGTCCTGGGGCAGCGGTGGGGCATTTTGGAGTCTGATGGCCTGAGCAGGAGTCCCAGCTCTGCCCCCCAATAGCTGTATGACCTTGGGGGAGGGGATCTTTAACTCTTGATGGCTCACGAGCAGAGAGCCCACCACCCACGCAGCTGCGCTTGGGGCTCCGCATCTGGTTATGAGGACCACTGCGCATGCTCTGACCCGCCTTCTCCGCACGGGTCAGCAGGATCCGACGCTCTGTCTTTTACAAAGGAAGCAAAGAGGCAGAGCTGACAAGGGAGTGGCTGAGCCCGTGCCCATGTCGGCTCTGGTCCATCCGGACTGCCTCTTGTCCACAGGTGCTCCAGGTCATACCCCAGGTCATTCCCATCTCAGGGTCCGGGTGGTGCCATCACCACAAACCAGATGCTTAAAACAACAAGAGTTTATTCCCTCACAGTCCTGGATGTCCAAAACCCAGGTGTTGGCAGAGCCCTGCTCCCTGAGAAGGCTCCAGGGGAGGGTCCCTCCTGCCTCTCCCACCTCATGGTGGCTCCTGGCAACCCTTGGCTTGTGGCTGCATCACTTCAACCTCTGTTTTCACGTGACAGCCCTCCTGGTGACTCTGTGTGTCCCTCTCTGTCCTGTTAGATTTAGGACCTACCCTGACATCGCACATTAGGTCCCATTCTGAGGTTCTGGGTGGATATGAATTTTAGGACACTAACTGCTACAGACAGTCTCTGACTTGTGAGTTTTTGACTTTACGATGGTGGTGAAGTCCTGGGCATTCGGTAGAAACCCCTATTTTGCATTTCAAATTTGGATCTCTTCCTGGTCTAGCAACAGGTGGTCACATCCTTTCTTGCAGTGCTGGGCAGCGGCAGCAAGCTGCAGCTCCATTGGCCACGGGATCCCAAGGGCAAAGAGCTGAGATTCTTCAGCGTACCGTCCTGCTAAGCTGGGTGCTAGGTAGGCTAGGTGTATTAAATGCATTTTGACTTATGATATTTTCCATCTATGATGGATTCATCAGGACACACCCCCACTGGAAACAGAGGACATCTGACATAGGTTAGTAGCCATGGGCTTGAAAGCTCCCAGACAGACACTGCTCTCTCCAAAAGCTTTATGTCACCCAGTGCCACAGTTTTGGCTGGAAGCAGCAGGGATCCAGGAAATGGGGAGTGGGAAGAGGCAGTGGGGTCTGGCAAGAGCCTGCTGGGGACCAGAGCTGAGATCCTGGTACAAGTCCTTCATCAGCTGAAGAGTCTCTTGGCATCATTTCCTTCTCTGCAAAATGGGGCTCCACAGTGACCACGTGCCGGGGCTTTCCAGGTCTTTTTGCAGTGAATCCCAATTTTGCAGACAACAAACAACTCTGAGGCTCGGAGAAGGAAAGCGACAGGACCACACGACCAGACTTAGAACCCAGCTCGCTCTTTCTCCCCACCCCCCTCCATATGCCTTCACCCCACCCTGCAGCTCCCGGGCCAGGGTCAAACGCGGTGTGGGTGTGAGTATGCATAGTTAAGCCCACCAAGGA